ATTAAACTGCTTTCTTTAAAAAAAAAAAAAAAAAAAAAAAGTTTCAGAGGCCACCTCCAGACCTTGGTGGAAAATTAGCACTGAATTTGCACCAAAGGAGTCATAAATTAACTTTGACATGTAATTGTAGCATATTGGTGTGTGTTTATATAGTGGAAGTTTTGACAGTAGTGAATTTGTGAAATTTTTGTAATTTACATTAGGAAGTGAGGAGAAGCGGCTGCCCCAGCTCTCACTCCTCCTCCCCCCTCTGCTCCGCCTCCCACTTCCTCCACACCCCCCGTCCCTCCTGACCCACCCTCCACACCCTCTCCCCCCTGATGCCCCCACACCCGCAGTGCTGCAAGACGGGAGAGCCAGCAGGACCCCCAAGCCTGAGCTTTCCCTTCCATTCCTCCCCCTTCTAGCTCCCTCCTCCCAGGTTTCCCCTCCTCCCTTCCCCCAGTTATGTAAAATAAAAAGAGATTTTGGTTGTCAAAACAGGTGTCTTTATTTGACATTAGAAAGGGGGGGCTAGGAAGGGGAAAGGGGAAGGGGGGTAGGGTGGAAGAAGGCCCCAGTGGGGCATGCAGGGACAGTTCAGTCCTCCTCCTCCTCCACCTGGAAGCTCTCCCACAGGGGGCCGTCCGGATCTGGGAAGCCCCGCTGGGCTTCCCAGACGGCGGAGGTGCAGGGCTGAGCGTAGTGTCCAGCCATGCGCTCAGCCTCAGCCATCCAGGCTGGCAGGAAAGCCTCCCCCTTTCGCTCACACAAATTGTGCAGCACGCAACATGCTGCCACCATGGGAGGGATATTGTGTTTGGCGAGGTCGAGGCGGGGGAGGAGGCACCTAAATCTGGCTTTCAGTCAGCCAAAGGCCCCCTCGATCATGATGTGGGCCCTGGTCAGCCTGGCATTAAAGGCCTGGTGGGAGGGGTTGAGGTGCCCAGTGTACGGCTTCATCAGCCAGGGCTGTAGGGGGTAGGCCGCATCCCCCACCAGGCACACGGGCATGTCCACGTCCCCGAACCTCATGTGGCGGTTGGGGAAGAAGGTCCCGGCCTCCAGCCTCTGGCACACGGAGGAGTTCTGGACGCGCTAATTAGAACTAGTTTTTAAGTCTAGATGTGCTAATTCTAAGTTAGTTCGAATTAGTGCTGTAGTGTAGACATACCCTGGGAGCTCTGAAACAAATGAAGGTGGGGAGTGGGAGGAGCCAAGGAACTGGCCCTGGGATGGGACAGACTAGGATCTGGGCCCTAAATGGTTAATAATGAGCAATGGTTTAGAAATGCCTCCATCTGCCAGTAACTTGTGACAGCACTTCTGGAGCTGTGCCAAGCCATCTGTGGCATGCTGCTTCTTCCCCTCCCCCAGCACAGTGTAGCTTGCTGAGTCCCTGCCCCACTCCTTGAAGACTGGGGCAGGGGCCATGCACCGAGCCTGCCCGTTCTCAGGTTGCTGCCTCTCTCCCAGTCCTGGGGCCTGGGCCATGCACCGCAACTGCTCATTCTCAACTCACCGCCTTCCTCACATTGCTGGGGCCTGGGCCATGCACCAAGCCCATCCGTTGTCAGCTCACTACCTCTCTCCCAGGGCTGGAGCCAAGCACTGAGCCTGCCCTTTCTCAGCTTGCTGCCTCTCTCTGAGTGCTAAGTTCACCTGTTTGCAAGTGCCTACCCCAGGCCCAGCATTTTTGTATGTCTACAGTACCAGGCCCATCCTGAGGCTGCCCTGTTAAATAAGAGACACAGAAACTGGGTCTGACCCTATGAAACACATTTATTGGGCTGGGGGGTGAAGGTGCAGCAGGGAGGAATCAGATCTTGTTGGCAGGGCAAAGAGACAGACAGACAAGCTGTAATTTGCAGGACGTAGCCTCATGCCGTCCCTTTAAAGCTGAAGCTGTCGCACCATTAGTATAAATGGCACCATCAGGAGCAAGCCCCAGTTATCGCTACCCAAATGCTGGCCCAGCTGTACTGCCCAATGGGGGCCACCGAAGGACTGGCAGCAGCTCCCCGTCGCTGGGATTGGCAGCAGCTGGCATGGGGTACAGCTCAGGGGGTCTGGGTGTCCTGGTAAGGGGGTGGGCTTTTGGGAGCGATGTCAGCAAGAGCAGATGGGGGCCCCATGTTCTGATAAATCACCACAGACTGGAGGGAGAGACAGAAGCAGAGCATGAGGGGCAGCCCTGGAAGCAGCTTCTCCCCTGGTCCACTATTCCCTAGTCCCCTGCTCCTCCCTTCTTCCCTCCACATCTCTCTGCAGCCCTGCAGGAGGGCACAGACACAAACTATTCTCCCTGGGGAAGTATGGGACAGTGAAGGGGGGCCCATACATGTTGACTGTAAAAAAAATAAAATAAAAAAAAATGGCCTGGAGAAATGTTTTACATGCCCATGGAAGCCAGGAGTCCTGGCCCTTGGCTTTCATCACTAGATCCCACTTCCTTCTCTGAGCCAGGCACAGAACCCAGGACTCCTGACCCAGGACCCCAGCTCTGACCCTTAGACGCCCTCCCCTCGCACACAGGCTGTCAGCTGTCACCGTGTCACTGTAGCTGTCCCGGCAGAGGGTTTTGCACCCGAAGGTGGCGCTCGAGATGGAGACACAGAACTCCAGGATGGTGAAGATCAAGAGAATCATGGCCACCCCGAACACGGTATCCTGGCCAGGGGAGATCCACCAGGAATGACTGATAATGTACAGCACCCCAGCTGGGCGCCCACCCTGCTCCCCTCAGCACCCTACCCCCTATCAAGCTCCCACCCCGCTCCATTTAGCACCCTGTCTGGCTCTCACCCTGCTCCCCTCAGCATCCTCCCCCTGCCAAGCCCCCATCCTACTCCCCTCAGCACCTTGCCCCCTGCCATCTCCCACCCTGCTCCCCTCAGCACTCAGCCCCTTGACAGCCCCACCCTGCTCAGCCCCTAACCCGCGCCACTCAGCACCTGGCTGGGCCCCCACCCTGCTCCCCTCAGCACACTGCCAGGCCCTCACTATTACCCTCATCACCATGCCCCCTTCCAGGCCCCCACCCTGCTCCCCTCCGTACCCTGCCAGGCCCCGACCCTGTTCCCCTCAGCACCCTGCCGGGTCCCTACCCCGCCCCTCAGCACTATGCCCCCTGCCAGACCCCCACCCCGCTCTGCTTAACACCCCTGCCCCCTGCCAGGCTCCGCCCCCCCTCCCCTCAGCACCCTGCCGGGTCCCTACCCCGCCCCTCAGCACTATGCCCCCTGCCAGACCCCCACCCCGCTCTGCTTAACACCCCTGCCCCCTGCCAGGCTCCGCCCCCCCTCCCCTCAGCACCCTGCCGGGTCCCTACCCCGCCCCTCAGCACTATGCCCCCTGCCAGACCCCCACCCCGCTCTGCTTAACACCCCTGCCCCCTGCCAGGCTCCGCCCCCCCTCCCCTCAGCACCCTGCCGGGTCCCTACCCCGCCCCTCAGCACTATGCCCCCTGCCAGACCCCCACCCCGCTCTGCTTAACACCCCTGCCCCCTGCCAGGCTCCGCCCCCCCTCCCCTCAGCACCCTGCCGGGTCCCTACCCCGCCCCTCAGCACTATGCCCCCTGCCAGACCCCCACCCCGCTCTGCTTAACACCCCTGCCCCCTGCCAGGCTCCGCCCCCCCTCCCCTCAGCACCCTGCCGGGTCCCTACCCCGCCCCTCAGCACTATGCCCCCTGCCAGACCCCCACCCCGCTCTGCTTAACACCCCTGCCCCCTGCCAGGCTCCGCCCCCCCTCCCCTCAGCACCCTGCCGGGTCCCTACCCCGCCCCTCAGCACTATGCCCCCTGCCAGACCCCCACCCCGCTCTGCTTAACACCCCTGCCCCCTGCCAGGCTCCGCCCCCCCTCCCCTCAGCACCCTGCCGGGTCCCTACCCCGCCCCTCAGCACTATGCCCCCTGCCAGACCCCCACCCCGCTCTGCTTAACACCCCTGCCCCCTGCCAGGCTCCGCCCCCCCTCCCCTCAGCACCCTGCCGGGTCCCTACCCCGCCCCTCAGCACTATGCCCCCTGCCAGACCCCCACCCCGCTCTGCTTAACACCCCTGCCCCCTGCCAGGCTCCGCCCCCCCTCCCCTCAGCACCCTGCCGGGTCCCTACCCCGCCCCTCAGCACTATGCCCCCTGCCAGACCCCCACCCCGCTCTGCTTAACACCCCTGCCCCCTGCCAGGCTCCGCCCCCCCTCCCCTCAGCACCCTGCCGGGTCCCTACCCCGCCCCTCAGCACTATGCCCCCTGCCAGACCCCCACCCCGCTCTGCTTAACACCCCTGCCCCCTGCCAGGCCTCCACTCTGCTCCCCTCAGCACCATGCCCCTGCTGGGCCCCACCTTGTCCCCCTCAGCCTCCTGCCCCATGCCAGGCCCCTATCCTG